GTGTAATTTTGATTGGTGCAGTGTGCCGTTTGATGTACATAATGTTTGTGTCCCCAAAATTTGTTCTAAGAACCTGAAAACAGATGGAATGTAAGATTTCAAAGAGCAGTTAATAAATCTTAATACAAACATTGATTCTGAGTCTTTTTTTGTTTGTAGTAATAGAATTAAGCTTAAGTAAATTAAAAAAAAAATTAATTACTAAGTTCTTTTGTATTTTTATATTTTCATCTTTTATAAATCAGTCTAATAATGTTCTTCATTAGTACATTATTTTAAAGAATAGGAATCACAGTTTATTAATAACTCTGTTATTTTAATTGTGAAGTTTGTCGAGATGTTATCTCCTTGTTTGCCATTTCACTCATTTCAATCTTCTTTTTTGACAGAGTATTTTGTGTCGCCAATTCTTTAGTAAGAATTATTGTTTAGGAGAGACTATTTGAAATCACAATGGTATACAGCATTACACTTAACTAAATTTAAAAAATAATAATAAATTATTTATTGTTTTGTTTACGATAGAATTTTCTGTTGAATATTTAATTTAAAACAGTAAATTAATCTACTTAAATTTGTTTTAACTCTAAAGCTTATGTATTGAATTTAAAAGGACTTTAATAAAAGAATATAAACTAGTATATTGTTTATATTTGAAAACATACTAACAATTCTATGTAATCTGCATTATAAGTTACTCAGATTTATCTTTAATTTGAGAAAAATTTAATATTAATTATCACTTGATGACGATTATCTAATTTAAAAATATTCAATAACGGAATATTATATTGTTTGGCTCAGAAAGTAAGTTAACTAAGATAGATTTTAAGAACAGGTGGGGTGTTGTAGATTGTTCAAACTGTTGGCATGTTTTTTGTTTAATTTATGTTTTGCGATAAAACATTAGAAGAAAAAACATTGGATTTTAATATTGAATATATGGTTTATGGCTCAAAATAATATACCAACTTGTTTTTTATTGTGTGTTGTTCATATTTTTTGTTTCGTGCTGAAATAGAACAGAATTCCAGCCCTTTGCAACACTCGTCACTTAAATATGATAAGCAAAAGAAAGGTAGAGGTTGTCCTAGAAAAGAATTAGAAGATCAGATAAATGGAGAAGAGGTGGAAATAGGATTTTTTTAAGGTCAGAAATCACTATTAGAATTGCAGTTTTACAACAAAATCAATTGTAAAACTTCAAGTAAGTCAAAATCTTGTATTTACAACTTTTTTGAATCAGCGAACATTTCGAGTAATGAAGAAGAATACATATCGGAAACACAGTTAAAATTAATAAATGTTAATTTTGGTAAAATAAACGATCACTCGAAGGAAATTAAAATATAACTTTGTTAAAATTTGATAAAGAAATCATTAAAAAAAAGGCATATTCTTTGATGTTGGTTAATTTGGGTAAAAGCCTCAAAAGAAAATATTTAATATAAAGATTAATTTGAATTAGACCAAATGAATTATGAATTATTAGCAAAAAATTTTAGAAATTTTATCTTTAAAAATACAAATTTTAAAAGTGAAGTACGTAAATTTATTAAAAACAAAAAAGAGAGAGAGAGAAAAAGCTTGAAAATTCTGGATTTTGAATTGGAGAATATAAAATCATTAACAATACATAATGCAAATAGTTTTTTGTTAAAATAACTTTGAAATTTTCTTTTAGTATTGAAACGTTTCTGGAAAAATAGAAGAGTTTGAATATTAATTATCATGATTTGTAAACAAACTAGAATAAGAAGGAAGAAGTTTATAACTATTGTTAAAAAGATAAAATGAGAAGGTAGGAAAACTGCACTTTGTGGTGATTATTTCTTAGAAGGAAATAAAATGTATATGATAGATATAAAAACAAAATTGTTTTCAAATTGATTGCTTTTTTAGATTAAGAGAAATTAATAATAGAACAAGAAAGAAATAATAACTATGCAGAATTTCTAAAGCATTTTGTAAATGTCCAACATAATATCAGTAAAACCAGGGATGTATCGTACCCATGAGAACTCCAATCTTGAGTCTTGTGTGAGCTCATTTCAAGAAAACTGGGATCCATCCTACTGAACTTCTTGCACTAAAATGCTCTTTGCAATCAGTCATTTTTTGGAAACCATCAATAGTAACTCATAGGTTAGAGCCAAAAAGTCATAAGGAGATGCACTTTCTTGGTTTATCAAAGTTCATGACAGCCATTCACTACCAAAGTATGTAGAGAACCACAGTACAAGCCTTCTTTATTCTGGCAGTAAAAGTGGACCCTGTCTTCCTTTACAGTCCACAAACATTATTCCAACTCTTATTTCTCCAACATTATCTACACATACTAGTAAATAGACTATATTGAGGAAGTCATAGTTTGTCACAGGTATTATCAAGACTTATTGAGCAACTGATTAAAAAGTATAAGGTCGGGAGTATAATCCATCTACAATATGAAATAATAGTAGTAGTAACCTTCAGTCAACAGTTGAAAGGAGTATATCATGAAATAGCCAGATCTACTGGCAGCAAACTTTGTTTCCAAAGAAACCACAAACTGTATGGAATTTTAAGAAACAATAAAGATTAATGTGACAATTTTTTTGGATTCTTAGAGTATACAAGGTTTTCCTGTATGATCAATAATTTGGAGCTGATCTTGAATACATTGGTGCCATGTTATGTTTATTACGAGCCTGATTGAAAGTAGATAAACAACTAATTAATTACAATTAATTTAAATATAAAATGAACAGTCAGATTTCTTTATTGAACTATTTAAGGCTAATTAATTATCAAGTAATTTGGCTAAAAGTAGACAGTTAAATTCTTGTTAAATTTAATAGTTAGAATTAATTTAATTTAATTTAAAATATTCTGGAAGAAAAAAAGGAATAATTAATTAGCTTTAAATAGCCTGATAAAGGAATCTGACTGTTTATTTGATATTTGAAGGAGCAGGAGCAGACTTTGAAAATGCCCATTCATCTACGGCATAAGTTCCTTATGCCTCTGTTGAACAAATACTAGTAGATTTGTGAAGGAGGCTACTTCATTGTGTTCAATCTTTAGTCATTCCATGCAGAAAGGGTTGATCATTTAAATATTTTAGTTTATATTTTAATACTTGAAGATGATGCTGATCTGGCTTCAAATATAAATGTTCTTTGTCTCCATGTTTAACTTTACCATCAGATACAAAAAACTTAATAGTATACCACCAGATTTTGTAGGAAAAATAAAATGATAAGATGTTTACTGAAAGCAGAGATCTATGAAGAAAGGAGATTCCAAAAATTAATTTGAAATATTTTGGGATCAGCTTTTCAAATTACTGTAACAATGATGATGGCGCCATTTCTGTTTATTTCCACAAGTAAATTTGAGAAAGTAATGGTTTTAAATGTTGATTTTTAAATTTCCTCATATAATCATGATTACCACAACTGATTTATCATCTTCCTTTTCTTTCTTATCAGTTTACATTTGAAATCTTTGGTTACAATGCAGTGAGGAATTATCCAGTTGAGTTGAAATAAAGAGTTTGATTTAATTTGGATTTATATTTTGTATTGTTTTGCTAGCCATACCAGTCAATATATTGCACTTTGACTTTTAGAGATTAACAGTATAACCCAATAGAATTTAGCTTTGTAATAAATCAAATGCATGTGACAGTCTTGATCATTGTTTTAGTCTGCAACTTGATACGCTTCATGTACATATGCTTCTTTCATAAATCATAATTTTTTGTTTTGCTTCTCTCCAAGTAATTTTTCAGCTTTCAGTTTCATTAATTATGCATGATTTATTATTGATTGAGATAAAACAGGTATATATATATATATATGTGTGTGTGTTTTAGTAAAGTTATTTTCAAATATTTAAAATTTAAATGTTTCTTATGTAATTGTAAAGATAGAAAACTGCAAACTGGAGAAGTTTTAATAAAAGTAATCAAATGTATAAATATTTTTAAATGAAATTTTATTTGCTTAAATCTTTTTGATGTTATCTCCTGTATTACATGGATTTTTTAATTACTTTTCTGACTGACTCTGTTTTACAGAAAGTATATCAATCTGTCAAAAAATGACCCCCTCAAATTTATGGATTCAGAGGAACTCAAAATGTCAAGAAATGCAAAAAAATTTGGGGGAGTTTTCTGTATGTATGGATGTTAGTGTGTTTGGGGAGCATTATTTTTTTTTTGCCCTCTTTGAAGCTTAATAACTTCTGTGCTTTTTGTTGAAGATTTCTGAAATTTTGCAGGGATGTTTGCGTATTAGGAGGATTGATGCTATTAAATTTTGGTGGTTAAAGGTCAATGGGATGGAGAGGTACGGGGTGCCACGTGTCGTATTGAGAGTAGGGTTGGACTTAATGACGATTTACTTGTTATTAGTATTTACAATTTTTTTATAAAATTTTCATCCCTGCCTTCAAAATTAAGCTTTTTGCTATTTTATGATAATTAAAAATGTAAAAAATTTTTATAACAAAATACCATAACAGATGCCACCACACACAGTTTTAAATGTCACCAGGAAAGTTAAGCAACTCGTTGCTGGATTTTATATTATTAAATTAAATAAGAACCAAATAGTCTGCAGGATTATACTGGGCTATAATATGACTACTATTAGTAATTAAATCTTAGGTAATTTTGCCTAGAGGTAGGCATTAGGTGCCATCTCTTGGCAAAATTAATTTAATTATTAATAGTAGCTCAATAGAATCTTGCAGATAATCAAAAATTGGGTTATTGGACATTTGTATTTAAATAAAAGTTTTGTTAATGTTGTTTATTTCATCACTGTTAATTTTTCTTTCCAAATTTTGTTTCATTCAGGAATTATTTAATATATTGTTATTTCAGAAATTTATTCAGATGATACAGAGCAAAATTTACATTTAATTTATCAAAAAGTAGAATGTTTTTAAATATTGCATATGTACTAAATTATTTATATATGTCTCTGTGTATTTTTTTTTTTTTTTATTAGACTGACGATGAAGAAGGTGGTAATATTATACTGGAGAATCCAGGAGATCTTTTATGTCCAGTGAAGAATTTTCGCATGTATCTAGCCCGGTTAAATCCAGCCTGTGATGCCTTGTTTCAGCGACCAAAGGATCGAATTTCCAAACAGGACTTGTGTTGGTACGTTAATTCGCCAGTGGGAAAGAACATGCTTGCCACGATGATGTCTACAATTTCCAAATGTGCTGGTCTGAGTCGTGTTTATACAAACATAAGAATTCGAGCCACGATGTATTCTGAAGCACAAGAAAATGGTTGCATTTCGTGTGAAGTTTCGCCAATTAAAAATGTGACTGACGTGAACAGATCACACAATATATCAAATGAAATGGGCAATGATGGTTATGAAATACCAGCAGAGAGTATTGCACTACTTAGCAACAATGTGGTTGGTAATGCCAGGAATAATTCTTGTACTATTCAGGTATCAGAAGACAAATCTCTTCTTGTAACCAATCCTCAGGAATTTGTCAAATCCTCAGCATCATCTAGTATGATCAAAATTTCTTCCACAACATCCTTATCAGTGTTTCCAGTTGCCTTGAGTCGAGCATGTCCAGATTCAACACAATCTTCTTCAGATATGCAACATTTAGACAAAGTTACACAGTCTTCCACTTTGCAGGGATTAAATAGAAATCAGATGTGTTCATCTTCAGAAATCAAAGTAAGTATTTTATTATTTTTATATATTTAACTAGAAATAATAACAATTAAAAACGTATAAATATAATTAAAAAATTACAATTAGTTACCTCAATTGCTCGCTCAATATTACTAAACAAGAATAAAATATAATTGACAGAAATTTACAAGAAATTTAAAAAATTGAGTATTTTCAGCTGTTTACAATCAAACTTTTTCAAGAAAACTATTGAATGGAATAGGATTTATTTAAATATAACAGAAACAAAAAACTATTGAAGTGTATTTTTGGTGTTATCGGAAGTGCATTTCATAAAGTTGATTGCTACAGTCTTTATGTATTTGAGCATTAATCAGTCAAGCTTATTGAACAGAATAGATTTAAATTTATCCTGTTCAAAGCTTAAATCTTAATAAAAATGTCAGGACAACTAATATCATTTAAAATTCACAGAAATAGAAAAACAAACACTAAAAAAAATCTTCAAATTTCATTTGTTTTTACGTCTCAGGAACATAAAGTTTCTTGGTGGAATTAACCTTTATCTGAGGCTTTCATCTGCTTTAAATAAAAGCCAACTCTGCTGACAGACTTTATGTTCTTGACGTGTGAAGAGTTTTAGTGTGTTTTCCCCTTCCCTATTTTTGTGAATTCTAAAATTGATAAATTTGAAACCATTTTTAAAGTTAATAAAATTTATGCTCTTAAATTATATTTTCATACTTAGAACAAAGTTATAATTTACGAGTAAAGAAGTAATCGTTAAAGTTTAGTTTTATTCTAGCAATAATTAGATAAAAATTCTTTTATAACTTTTTAAACAATTTTGTAATTTTAATTACAGTTTTTTTTTTTTTAAAGAATCTTTCAAACTTCGAAAATGTATTTAAAGTTTAAAAAACGAAAATAAATCAAACGTAGAAAATTTCTGATTAACTTGATTAATTACAATGCGTTGGATTTGTTCCAGAAATTAATTAAAATCGTCCTTTTCTAATTTAATGTTTATCACATATAAAAGTTGAATTATTTAGAATAACAACAGCTTTTCTTAAGTTGATCCGCAGAGAATTAATATATCAATCAAAGATAGAAAATTAATTACGTTAGAATAATATAAATACGCTCGATTATAAAACAAAATTCTTTGATTTAATTATAAAAATTTTGATTGTCGTTAAGTATTAATGCTTTCAATTATAAAATTAATTATCTTAGGATAATAGAAATAGAAATAATTAAAATATAAGAGAGAAAAGAATAGAAATAATTAAAATATAAGAGAGAAAAGAATAGAAAATAAATTATTTAAAATTCTCGTAAAAATTGAAGTATCGAGATCTGCGGAAAGTGAGAATTTCTTTGGAGTAAGTGCTTAGAATACTTAGTATTTCTTTGGAATAAGAAAAAAAAAGGATTAGAATTTAATATATAAAATCTAATAGATAGTTTCCTTATTAAAACAATATAAAAGTAAAATAAATTAAATAATAAATTATATACGAAAGAATGCACTTTGATAATTCTGTGTAGTTGAGATTGATAGTTTTATATATCAGCTATTTGAAACCGGAGATTGTTAATTAATGTTAAAACAGAGCGGCTTGTTTAAATATTTTTGGCATTGAAAACATTATTTTGTCTGTCGTAAAATTCTAAATTAGTTATTTGACATTTAAAATAATAAAATTAATTGTAACTTATCCATAGTATATACATTGTCGTTTCATAGACTTAAATATTAAGATTGTATAAATAGATTTAATTAGTTAATTTGTTAAAAATTTATAAGTTTGTATTTTTAAGTTTCGTAGATAAATATTGACCAAGTTTACACATTAATTTTTCTTGTGTACAAACAGTTAAATTTATCATTTAAAACTATCACATTGTTAAAAGAATATAAATGAATAAACGGATGTAATTTAAATGTTTTCCTATCTGAAATATTTATTGAAGTATAGCTAATGAAGTTTACCAAGTTTTGTTTTATTAATTGTCGAGTTTTATTTTAAAACATCGATCAAACTATTGATTTATTTGAATAAAAAGTATTTAATGCTCTTACTTTAATCTTTCTGTACTTGTAATTGTTTAAAAACTGTAATATCTAATATCTTTTTTGGCTAAACAAATTCAAATTTTGCATATTTTATACCATTTTTTGTTCATTGTTCTTGAATAAAATAAAGAGGTTATTTAATGTGGTTTAAGAATTTGTTCGAAGGTCACCCATTTATTCTGTGTACAGTTTTTGACCCACTATTATGTATGATCTACCTTAATTACATGTACAATTATTTGTGGACAACCCTGACATAAAAAATTTCCGCACATATTTTTTTAACTGATATTAATTTACGACTAAAAAGTAGGCTTATAAGAACAAATTATAGTGCAACTAATACCACTAAAAAAAGTAATTTATTTAGACTGTACCATTCTTAAACTGTACATGTAATGAATGGTCGGTTCCTGATATATACAGTAAAATCTCTAATAAAAACAAAAATTGAACATTAATTGAACATTACAAAATGAAAAAATGACTAAAAATTGCATATAATATAACATTTTATGCTCATTCAGATAAAATCAGTAATGGGACATTAAAAATATGCATGTATACATGCAAATTTTTTTATGTTTCATTAGTAAAGCTTTCATTTCAAGCTCAAATTATATAAAATTTATGATGTGCATTCTAAGTATGTTTAGAGTATACTTAAATACTTTTATGCATAATTTACTTATATATTTAGATTTAAAACCCAAGTACATTCAAACTTATTTTAAGATATTTAATGTTGTTCTTTTAAGAATAACTGCGGACACCACCCAACTTTGTCTTATCGAGATAGAATTAAGGTGGAGCATTGTGCTTTTATAATTAAGAAATTTTAATTAGTATTAGTACATGTAAATTATCTTTTGCTCTATTTAACTAGAACACTGATACGTATTCAAATGTGTATGGATTTGTGTGTGTGTGTGTGTGAGAGAGAGAGAGAGAGAAAGAGTATGCATGCGTGATCAGAAGAAAAAGTTGCTGGTCACACAAGAAAGGAATCCTTACATTTGTCAGCCACATAGAGATGATCTTTACACTTTCTGGTCACAAACAGGAGATCCTTACATTTGCTCAGTGTTGATTGTTTTGTTCTCATGTTTTTTTGTTTTTGGTGCCTTTTTTTTTTTAGGCATGAACAGTGTTTTATTTTTTCTACCTAAATTCTGTTTGGCACACTCAGTCGCATCAGGGAGCATGTACTGTACTGTACATTGTCATTTTGACCCCACTGTATCTTGAAAACAGTCATATACCTCCATTTTTTTATTACAGTTTTTGGATTCCTCATCCCAATTAATGGAAAATGGCAAAATTTAATCAAAATCGATCAAATTTTGAGATTGAATGCAATTTTGTAAGCCACATAGAAAAGACTTCGCTAATGCTCCACCTCAATTAGTCCTTGCCGATAAGTGATTAAAACTTGAAAATACTTGGTTTTTGATAAATAAATATTAATCTAAATTTGAAACAGATTTTATTGAAATAGGTTATTCATTCATACATACATACATTAACTTGACAATCATTTTAGCTCAAAAACTGTTGAAAAACAAACTCAAATCCACATTCCAGGAAACCACTGGTATAAAGTAATACAAATAATTTCAACCATACCCTATGTAGAACTAATTGAATCTATCAGTTCTACATGATATATCGGGCACCTGTCCTTTGCCATCCTGTCTCCTCCATTGTTGAATCCATGATGGGCTTGAAAAAAAAGCCACCTTAGTAAAAGTAATATGTAACTAAATGAGCATATTTGCATTGCCATTATAATTTTTTAGTCAAATCATACACATTTCTGTTTTTTAATTAATACTTAGTGCTCTAGAAAAAATTTGGGAATATTATTGCTCTCTTCAGTCAGATTACCTATTTTATTTTGAACTTTACATCAAATTAATTTCACAACATAAAATTTTATATTTTATAAAAACAGAATACTGAGATGAATAGCAAGCACTAAAAGGGGTTAGTCATGTCTGTAAGTGCACACTGGAACACTGGACTATTTAGATCAAAGTACATTTAGCTTGAAAGTTCCCGCTTGTATGTGTGCATCTTTGGCAGGTTTGAGAAAAATTGGGATGACAGATACATTAAGGATTTTTCACATTTTCTAAAGATGTTCATGGTTAGTTTAGATAAAAGAAAAACTGTTTTATGACTCATAATTATGAGTTAAAATCAGCAGAAAATATATCATTGAATAACCCACATTTGGTTTCAATTAACTTTTAAACTTGTGAGTTATTCCCATAAAATTTCAGCACTAAAAATTTTGGCTTCCAGAAGTAAACAGTTATCTTGTTTGTTTATTTAATTATTCAGCTTTCTGTACATAATAAACAAGTTTTAAATGAAAAAAAAAAAATGTTTTGATGGATTGATTAAAATTCTTATTGTTTATTTCTTTTGTAATATATTGTATATTTAATTATTATTTTTCATTATAATTTATATCAGTATGAACGTATATATAGTATATATCTGTAAAGGAACAGTAATAATGTAACCAATGTCACTAAGAACAGCTTTTAAATGTTTATTTTGGGGCACAGCCAAATCAGTGTTGATAATTATTCTAATTCTGGCATCTATTGTAAATGCTATTTATAACAAATGCTTGTTTATTTACATTTTAAACCTTTAAAAAATATATTTAATATATTTTTGGCAATATGATAGATAGTGTATATATGTATATATGTATGTGCATACATGTAAACTATATATTTTAAATGATTCTAAAATTATTCATTTTATTTTTAAAAATTTAATCAAGTATTTTTTTGTCTACAGATGGATATCAGCATTGATAGCAGTGCCAAACCTGATACTCAGATTTACAAAGCACCACCTAAACTTACTGCACCACCACACATAATAACACTCGACTCATTCCGTTTCGGAAGAATGTCCAGAAAAATGTCCTGGGATGAAGTCGCACAAAGAAGTAAACTGCAGACCATGTGGGCAGTGAAACTCTTTCGAGGTATATACATATACATACACATAAAAAAAAAATTTTAAGTATGTGTACAGGTATTTCTTGTATCTGATATATTTCATTCTTCAGGCTGTCAGCTTGGGTGATTTGTTTCAAATAGATGACCTGAAATTTATATTTGTGACTAAATCCTTATTTTGACAATGAATGACAAAATAGGTGATATCAATTTTTATGTATTTGAAGTGGTTGTTGTTAGAAGAAAAGGGCAATTTTAATTCTCTGATAGTTTCTCTCAGAACCATTTGTTTTGTCTATACTCACCACCTGCTATCTTAAACTAAAAAATGTTCTGCGCATGTGCTGCACAAATGTATTCAAGATAATTTAATGACACATTTCATATATTGGCTTCTCTTTTTCATGTTTTTCAAAATATTGTAACAGAGATTAGTCGGTATCTGATTATTTTTTAAATTCTTGTCTTTCTTGGAGTACTCGGGTTGTTATTGATGGAAAAGTAGCCATTACAGTTGACTTACAAAACAGTGCCATATGCCTTGGCCATAACCACAGAAATGCTATAAAATCAATATTTTATAATAGAAAATTTCTTAAATCAAAACAAACAAGAAAGTATACTTAAAATATTAAAATTATATTGAATTTAAATTTATTTCATTTTGTTTATGTTTGAAATATTAGAAACTAGTTTATGTGCAGGATAGTGATGATACATAAAATCCTGCAAGAAGAGAACATTTTTTGGAGTTTCAAGATGAGTGATGAGTGTAGAAAGTATTCATTAAGATGTGCTTTTATATCATTCCTTAAACATAATCGTTCACATTGTCAGTGCATTAATTTTTTTATTATATCAATACAGTGTTTGAAAATGGAGAAATCAATANTAAAATGACATATACAAATGGAAATTTAAAGAACTTAAGCAGTCAAGAAAGTTTACGTAAAAGAAAATCTATTAAACATAAGTAATATTTAACCAGTGTTAGCTAGATGAGTGAGAAGATACAGGCATCAGCCTGTTGTTCTCTATTCTTTATCATCTGGTAATCTCCATTATATGGATCAGCCGAATTTATAATTGATGTGAAAGATAAGACCCTCTTAGTATCTGCAAAATATAAATAGTTAAAAAAATTACTTCACTACTTTATTAATTATATAATGTTGAATGAAATAGTTTTTTTTTTAATAGAAAAATTACCTGTTGATTAAAATTTATAATATATTTTATTTTGCTACTAATTATGCTTATGATATTATGTGGACTTTCACTTTTTGACTATGTGCTATATAATGTAATTGTTTAACTAATACGAATAGAATATTACATAAAACAAAGTACAAGTATGAAAATTAAATCTATAGAAATAAAAGAATTATATTTACAAAACTAGCATAATTCATTTTTACTTTATTAAAATAATAAGTGGAAAAATAAAATAAAACAAAAATTAATTAATGTCTGTATATAGTTAATTAGATTGGTTTAAAATAAAATAATTTTCAGTAAACTGAAATTTTTTAATGAAATTAATCCACAATTAAATTGTCATATGAATGATTGACGGTATATTGTTCTATTGCTAATGACAAATTAGTTGTTGAACTTTACTAAAGAGGGACTTCAAGACACAACTATTGTCGATATTTTGTTGTTCAAACTTGTGTGTTTGCTTTATTTAACAAAATCTCAACTTGTTGGCATCCTTAGTTCAACAAGTTGTGTGTTGCAGAAAATCTAATCTCTCGGATTTTTGCTCGTTATACCAAGACGATCAAAGATGAGATTGGAATTGCATGTTAGATCATATTCCAGCACATTGATGTAAATATCCGAATCGTCGGCAAATATTGTCAATCTGTTTTTGGGTTCAACAAAATGCCTGCAATAGTCGTTATTGTGTAAACCAGTCTTTAAGCATCAGTTACTAATCTCTTCTTCTTTGACAATGAAGTTACCTATTCTGGCCTTAAAATCAATCTGTTACCTATAAGATTTTAATCTGAAAATTTTTAATATACATTGTACTCTAAAGAATTTGAAACTTCAAGATTACATTTATTAATTCTGCTAAAAGTAGTGATTTCTGTGAATAATCAATATCAATTTTATATCCTTAATAATAATTGTTACATTTATATACTTTTGTGTAGCTTATAATTCTAAATTTAATTAATATATATATATTTTAATAGGAAATTTATCATCATTATTGGAAAGATTCATTTCCTAATCACATATTAATTCTATAATTGGCTACTGTAGAAGCAAATGCAAATATCAAGTAATTTAAGATAAATATATCTCAAGTTGAATGTGAATTGTTTAATAATTGAATTTTAGAACTTTATTTTTAACAATTCAAGTGTTTAAAATTGCTCCTATTCTTAGACGATTTCAATGTTCAGTGTGTTTCAGGAAGATAATAATCTGAAATCACTTTAAATGTCTTCCATTTACTAATATTACAGTTTTAGTAGTTAGGAAAAGAACTATAAAATTAATTTACTTCTGATATTATATTGAAATATTGTAAATGTATTAATGTATATATTTTATTGATTTGTTTTTTATGTTCCGTTTTAATGAGCGCTATAAACATTTAGCTCTTAACTCAATTTTAAAATACATAAAATACAAAAGTACAGTGCAGTACAGATATACATATGTATAGAGCATACATTAGGTACATTTCAGTATGCATCAGTCTCAGCCATAACTAATATACCAGTGAACAGTTGAATAATCTTTTACTGGAACATCTGGTGACCTAACAAGATGACAGAAGCAAACAGCACTATATTGTCATTTGCAGACTTATTTCATCAAAATATCTTCACGAATATTAATAATGGTGTTAAGGATATAATCGTGGTAGCAGCCTTATTGTTTCATCAGAGTTTACCATGTCCAAGGTCTAATGAATGCAATGCACATCAGCTGCTGCAGTTTACCAATGCACTATTTGATGCATACTATAATGTATCCATTGAAATTTAGACTTTAGAGGTATCAGTGATATTGTTATTCTCATTAAAGATACTCTACTTATCTAATGTCTTACACAATTTCTTCAGACATTTGTCATTAAAGAGTAGTTTACATTTCTCACAGCTTTCCATTATATATCAGAAGTAATCTAAATTTGTATTTAATACTGTAACATTGTTAGAACAAAATGTAATGTGAAAAAAAGTATGTATGAAATAATAAAAGTGTACACAAAATAAAAATATTGATATTATTTTTTATGCATAAAATACAAACAGATAGTGAGTGCTACCGATGAAAGAAAAAAGTAGTCACCGTTTCTACTTTAAATGAATTAAACAGTCTTCTTCAATTTAATTTACTAGTTATTGTTGTATTTAAATTAAACATAACAATAATTTAGATGATTAATTTTGAAGCAATAAACTGCATAAAATCATTTGCATTGAGGTACGATGATACAGTTAATGTTCATTAAAATTATAATGCTATTTTAATTAAATAAATAGATTTTACAAAATTAAAAAAATATTTAATTTTACAATTTCAGTCTCAAAATGAACAGTCTGATAATACGAAGATTTGTACAAATGTTTTTAATCAACACGAGCATATCAACAAATGTGCAACTTGCAATACAATACTCAAAAATCAAGGAGGAATACTTTTGACAGCCGGTCGATTAGGGAAAAGATTATTTTGTTCCACGGGTTGCCTCGGTCAGTGGGTTTCTCAGGATAACAACAAATCTATTTCTACATCCTCATCATCATCTTCGTCGTCATCGTCATTGCCAACGTGCGATTATTGTCAAATAAAACAGACACCAAAATATCATTTGATTGGGGATAATGGCGTCGTCCAGAAGTTTTGTTCTAGTAATTGTATGGTTCATTATAAAAATTCGCCAATTAATGGTCATTATGGAACAGTGCCATGGTGTACAGAAAGTGATAAGTCCTCATATCTTTCTGACTCAGGTATTTCAGATATTCTGTTTTAAAATAATTAAATATTTATTTTATTTTTATAATAAATATGATGTCTCCATTCTGTCAATTCAGATAGCCCCATTCCAGTTATAAGTTCAGTTGTTTCCCTTTCAACTGATCAAACAACCATTGGTATGGAAGATGATGAAGAAAGTCCAGAAGATGAAGATGATGATGAAGAACTTGATAGTGAAGAGGAAGAAAATGATGATGGAACTCTTGGTTCACCAGTTTTTATTGTTCCAGATGAGGTATGTACAAATAAATCCATGTAAAGATATAGAATATATTTGGTATATACTATCAGGAAATTTTTTATGTATTTCTATATGCGTAAAAATAAATTTATCGATCTACTGATGATAAATTTTCCAAATTGAGCTGATAAAAGACAAAGTATATTAGCATTTTATATATATTTATCTGTACTCTTGTTTTTGTTTTAATTCGTACAACTGAGCATAAAGTTGCTTGAGAGAATGTATCATACAGTAACACACAACAAAGAAGATGGATATACAGGCTTTTATTAATTCTAGAGTTAATAAAAGTGACTTTATGCTTTCCTTTGAATAGATATTTATGATATACAAGATTATCTTAGACAAAAATTGGTTTCATAGAACCCGCTTTGATTTCAGCTCCCTATAACCTCTAGATTCAAGTGTTTCAAACATTTTATAATGAAGAAATAACTCAATATCAAGAACTTCAAATAAATTAATGGATACAAGTTATTGTACACATCAGCCCACCAGTGGCTGAGTGGAAAACAACTGAACATTGATTTTGGTTGTGGGTTCACTTCTGACCAATGGGCTGGCTGCATAATTTTCCGAGTTTCCTTCACATGTTTAACACCTAGATAGGAGCAATTTCCCATAGAAAGTTGTCCTGGGGCATCCCTCTTAGTAGATCATTGATGTGTTGCTTTACCTTATCCCATATATCGAAGTAAAACACAGCTTGAAAACACTTGAAAATTACTAATATTTGGTATTATTTTTATGAAAAATTAAATATAATTTTATAACGAAACTTAAAAATCATCTGAATACATTTTCGCAAACTTACCTTTTGTGTTCATAAAATTTTATATAATCAAATATTTATTTTATAAAGATATTTTTAGTTTAAAAATTTGTTAAAATTATGTTTGAGATCCATCACTTTTAACCATAATATAGAATCAGAAGGTTTTTATTGATTTCACAAATAAGATTATACGTTGTTTGTATGTGTAAGTAAAGTCAAATCATGTTTTGATCTTACTTTATCTTTACATTTATTAGAAAATTAAGCAATGATTTATACATATGTATATATATATATATTTTTATTTTAGCTCCCAACAACATCCACATTCCCTTCTCCCAACCGTAAACACAAAATGAAAGAAACAATTCCCCGATCCGTTCACAGTCTTCTTCCTCAATCTAAATGTCCTCGGAATGATTATTCTTCGTGTCTGAAACCTGCTATGACTTCTGTAAGTGTATTATGCAAACCAAACATGTGTAGCGTTGGAGTCCAAGTAGGTAAGTATTGGTTACGACAAGAGCTATAACCAAATGTTTTCTATGACATATAATTTCTACTTGTAATCCCAAACTTTTCCAGGGCCATCTAATAATTATCCAACAGAAAATGGTATCAGTAACCCACAGAACTGCTTAGTTGAGCATAATCATGATCACTTAAATTCTAAGCTGTCAGATGATAACTTAGGGGATTACAAAAAAGATTTGATTCCTTTACAGGTAAGTGTAATTGTTATAGTACTAATATAATTTCATAACATAGATTATTGGTATAATCAACAGAATCAAATCAAAATAAAATAAATAAAATTTTGTTTTCCTTTTCCATTCTAAATACTATAAATAGCATGATAAAATTATGTATGCCATTTAAATTAAACATGAAAATTTTTGAAAGTCCAATACACATGAACATCAAAATTAAAACAACAGTTGGCACATAATTCTGTTTTGTTCCACATTATCATTTGTTGTAATCATACTTAATATGTATATATGTATGTGCATACATGTAAACTATATATTTTAAATGATTCTAAAATTATTCATTTTATTTTTAAAAATTTAATCAAGTATTTTTTTGTCTACAGATGGATATCAGCATTGATAGCAGTGCCAAACCTGATACTCAGATTTACAAAGCACCACCTAAACTTACTGCACCACCACACATAATAACACTCGACTCATTCCGTTTCGGAAGAATGTCCAGAAAAATGTCCTGGGATGAAGTCGCACAAAGAAGTAAACTGCAGACCATGTGGGCAGTGAAACTCTTTCGAGGTATATACATATACATACACATAAAAAAAAAATTTTAAGTATGTGTACAGGTATTTCTTGTATCTGATATATTTCATTCTTCAGGCTGTCAGCTTGGGTGATTTGTTTCAAATAGATGACCTGAAATTTATATTTGTGACTAAATCCTTATTTTGACAATGAATGACAAAATAGGTGATATCAATTTTTATGTATTTGAAGTGGTTGTTGTTAGAAGAAAAGGGCAATTTTAATTCTCTGATAGTTTCTCTCAGAACCATTTGTTTTGTCTATACTCACCACCTGCTATCTTAAACTAAAAAATGTTCTGCGCATGTGCTGCACAAATGTATTCAAGATAATTTAATGACACATTTCATATATTGGCTTCTCTTTTTCATGTTTTTCAAAATATTGTAACAGAGATTAGTCGGTATCTGATTATTTTTTAAATTCTTGTCTTTCTTGGAGTACTCGGGTTGTTATTGATGGAAAAGTAGCCATTACAGTTGACTTACAAAACAGTGCCATATGCCTTGGCCATAACCACAGAAATGCTATAAAATCAATATTTTATAATAGAAAATTTCTTAAATCAAAACAAACAAGAAAGTATACTTAAAATATTAAAATTATATTGAATTTAAATTTATTTCATTTTGTTTATGTTTGAAATATTAGAAACTAGTTTATGTGCAGGATAGTGATGATACATAAAATCCTGCAAGAAGAGAACATTTTTTGGAGTTTCAAGATGAGTGATGAGTGTAGAAAGTATTCATTAAGATGCGCTTTTATATCATTCCTTAAACATAATCGTTCACATTGTCAGTGCATTAATTTTTTTATTATATCAATACAGTGTTTGAAAATGGAGAAATCAATACTACAAAACCTTTTCTCTTTGAAAGAGAGATCATTTTATATGAAATATGATAGAATATTATGTTTAATTAGTGCAGGTGTGTAATTTTTTCTGCTTTACCAGTACAAAAAGGGCTTTTATCTTATTCATTATGAGCACAGCCAGACCCACTATCTTGTTGGTCAGGCAGACCATTTTTAGGATGGTAGCCAGATTAGCCAAAAAATTTCTGAGAATTTGATACAGTTTTTTCACATGATGGGACAAACCTGGATCATTCGTGTTAATGAGTCTAATATTGCTTATAATGCTGCATTAGGTTGTTCAGTTTTCAGTAAATTTTCAACAGGGACAAAGGAAAATTCAGGAGTTGCACAAAGTGCAGCTTTTTCTGAGCAAAACTGAGTTTCTCAGGTAGTAAAAAATTTTATAAGATATATTTTTTGCTTCCTACTTTCCTTGTAAAGATTTTTGGAGTCACTATTGAACAGGGATGATTAAAACCTCCAGATTCAGACAGTAGCTTACAAAGAAAGGAGTAAGGGCTACTTATTTTTTTGTATCCCTTTTGATGATGATTTACATATTTGTTATAAAAATATTCATTGCAGGAATTTTAGAGTTTTTTGCTCTTTTGAATCACTCTGCATTGCCCTAAATGCACTCATATTCTTACTTTGTCTTGCAGATTGGCTTCAGTGTCGAAAGAAACTTCAGCCGGATTTCGAAAATTTGCAACCGATCAAACTGGGAGAGATGCTTCAAGAATTTTACTCAAATCTAAAGAAGCCGGATGGCGACGATTACAGCGTCAGTACCTTTCACAGTATTCGTGCTAGCATTAACCGTTATCTTTCTCTTCCTCCCCATTCGAAACCCTTCAGTATTATACGAGGAAGTGAATTTCAGAATGCCAATGAAGCTTTCTTTAAGCGCGTCAAAAGTATTCAGCACAATAGCTGGTGCCCTCCGCAGATTACAAATAACCCAAATATTCCAAATCAGTAGACGTTTTTCTTTTTTAAAAAAAGAAATTAACCCAATTTTAAAAAAAAGGTCTAGAAAACGAGTTATATGCTGCACGAAGTAAAAAAAAAAAGAAGAAAAGAAAAGAAAAAGAAGCATTGGAACCGGTGGATTGATTCATACAGGACTTTTTTTTATACCATTAATAGCAAGTGTGGATGCAGAAAATCCACAATTTTCGTCAGTATTTTGAGAAGTGAGTGCAAATGCTTTTTGCTGTGTTGTTTTAGAGCATAAATCAATTTACCTGTTGCGATTATATGACTAAGAAATGGTAATACGCAGTAAGTAACTTTTTTTTAACACAAAGTAAAATTGTGTAAAGATACAAACACACACTGATTTCAATTTACTAAACAAACAAATGATGTTTTTTATTGTGCAATCGAATATTGGTGTTACCATAAAAAAATAATATCGTAAACTACGTAGAAAATTTACAGGAACATTGTCGTTGAAATAAGTCATAGTGATTTATATTGTTAACAAAACAATATTTAGTAATTTATATTTATCTTTACTAAATCTGTTTATAAAAAGCAAAACTTTTTTTATATATATATACTTACGATATATATATATATATATATTATATATATTTAATAATTTATTTAAGAATGACAGCTATGCTCCTACCTACCACTTAACACTTGACAGTAATTACATATTCGGATGATCCGTTAGACATTACAAATACAAAGGAAGACAAATGTTGGCCAATCAGAAACCATTTTAAAAAAATCTTTCATACTCATTGCTTCCAACAATCTTCCTCTTCATCACCATTTTATCGAACGAATTAACACGTCGGTAGTAGCATTAGTGTTTTTCATTTATACACTTTTTATTTATTATTATTATTATTAATTATTAATATTTTTTTAAATTAAAGCTTTAAAATTTTTTGTGTTTTTATAAGAAAAATATATATATCTCTTGCTAATTATTTTCCGTCCACTTCCGTGTCATGTGGCATGGGGAAGTAATTTTTTTATATGTGTATATTATTGTATCTGATGCAGTTTATCTTTTAATTTAAGACTACATATCCATTCTCTGTAGATTGAAATACTTTGTCTTTTCGCATTAGCTGCTTAATGGGTCGTTTCTGTTGCAGAGATCCTAAACGAGAACTTGAGATGCACGTTTTAAAATAGTTTTCCAGACGTGCGGCACGCTCGATAAACCCAAACGAATGGATTCACACATAACCAAAGTATCGCAGGTATCTAGTTTATGTTTGTGTTTATTACAAACAACAATAGTTGAATGGCAAAAAACACGATTACCATATTCCTCTATTGTGTTAAGACGCAGAAAAGTAGAAGTTATTTTTTAATAATATTGTTTTAAACCTTTAAATCTAAACTAAGCTAGAGGTGTCATACACTTTATAAGACATTTGAGCAAACAGGTATTACAATCAGGTTTTATTTAAAACACACAAAAGATAAAAACCACTTCCATCACCGCACACCCTGCCAAAAACTTATAAAGTCTAACTGACACTTCTGCCATAGATGCAATTTCAAAGCACAATATTACAGAGCACATACATACGAACAATTTTACAACAGCAAGAAATCTTTTGAACACATTCGATTGCCTGCGAATAGATAACAAAACCTACGGTCAGAGATGTTCTTGTATATAAAAAAAAAAAAAAGCATTTTATCACTTACATATTCTCATTTTATTATATTTGTCATTTTAACTCATGAGAGACGATTTAATTTAATGTTAGAAGTGGTGTGTTCGTCTTCTCCGAATAGCGTATGCTATCAGATCAATTTGAAGTCCAGAGAGTGTCAGAAATGTCTTCAACTTGACATAAAAGCATACACCATTCTGATGGAATGAAAACACCTAATTATTATTATTATTCGTTGCCATTATTTATTAGTTATGCTTTCGTAGTGTATAAAAAAAACAAGAGTTCATTCCATCTTTTGTTAACCGAGACGCTTAGGAGAGCCATGCAAATTTTTTTTTTTTTTTTTTAGTACACGGAGCTTTCAACGTCTGAGTATTGTGTTGTTTACGTTAAGTTTTTTTGTTTATTCGATGATATTTTTTTACATAAATATATATACATATATATATACAATTGCCTATTAAAACAGAAATGTATTTTTCACATTTCTATGGCAGCTGTAATCAAAGTTTTGCTAGCTATGCAAAATTTCTCTATCTCTCCTCTCTCTCACTCTCTGTCTCTGTTGGTACATTATTGCTTCATTCTTAATATCTGTGGTTTTTTTATTATATAGTATAGAGAATTAGTTATATTTAGAAGAAAAATATATTATTGTTTGTAATTACACCTCCTAATCATTAAGTTAAGAATCAAAAATATGATTCAGAATCGAGATTTGCATCGAATTTAGATATTCCTGAAGCGAAACTTGATAGATTTGTTGCTGTTATTCCTTCGCCAATTGTCAAAGATATGAGTTTTTCAGGCTGCAAACTAATTGTCCCATCCATTTATTGATCATAAGAGTTCAGAAGTACAGGTGTGACTCTCAGTTAATTTTCCTGGTCTTGATTGTGTATTTTCAATGCATGCAGATTAACTAAATTCGATGGCTAAATCAGCTGAGAAATTATTTTTTTAATTGATGACAGAAAACAAAAAAAAAATTGTTTATTTTTCTGATAGATCACGTTTCTAAACAAACACAACATGGGCAGCTGTTTTCGAACTTTTATTGAAGACATTTTTAAATATTTCAGTAGGGAATCTGATTTTGAATCATCTTTTTGTACTTGGACTCGACTGGATATACTGTGTTTTATTTACCTTCAGAAGTGTTGACCATGCAGAAAAAAAATACCTCTTTGGTCGAATTTCATTGGCAGTAAACAACGGGCACTTTTAAGTGGCAAGCAACTAAGCAAGCAAATTGGTAAAATAGAAATTGGCACTGTGTAAAATTGGCATAGAAATCAGTTCATTCGACCCACTTCGGATGAGTGAACCATTTGACTTTCTTGGCCAATTGACCAACAACGTTGCCGATTTCAAACGGACTAAGCAAACCAACGATATTGCCCAATTTGTACGACATGGGCTAAGCAAACCACTGACGTAGCCATTATGAAACGGGCTACGTCATTGGTTTGAAATTGGCTTGCCTAGGCTGTTTCATAAGAAACGGGTTACTTACTTATCCGCTCGCTACCCAGAAGCCGCCCATAATATTCCTTCCGATAAAATGGCTGCTCTCGGCTTCCTAGAAGAAGCTAAAGTTATTTAAACAGATATACCTCTACTCGTACACAAATATATGCTTTTGTAGTCCTTTTCTACTGTGATTTTGAAGTATGGTATAACATTTAGTAACCTCTGTCCCCCTCTGCAAAATCTTGGTCCAATTTATATATATATATATATTCTTGGTCGGCGTATGACGGAGACGCCCGAGCGACTTTCTCGACGGTGTTTTATAAAAACATAATTAATAATAATAATACATTAATTCCATAGCAGAGCAAAAAATTGCATAATAATTCGGACGAGAGAGAGAGGGATCCTCCGTCGAAAACAAGGAATCAATTTATGCCGCCATCATGTCTGGTACTGTCTGCAATTTAACTTATAAAGTGTTATAAATATATATATTAAAAAACATATTGACGCACGGTTTGCTCGCTTTTAGTGGTTTTTATGTTCATTGAAGAAAAATCCATAAGTTAAACTTTTTTGGTATTTGCAAACTATTATATTTGCATCGGTGGTGTTCAAAGTTCCAAAAGAAAAAAAAACTTCATACCTCATCTACACTTTGCTCGCTTTGCACACTCCTTGCCAAAGCTACTCTGTACACACACACCTCTGTAACTTAGCACCGGAGTGCAAGAACCGCGGCAGAGCAATGCCACCGCGGAGTTTTTGGCACACCTCCGAAAAACTTACCTCTTTCAAGGCAAAGCTTGCAAAACCTGCATATCACACTTTGGACACCACTAGTCAAAAAAAAAAAAAATTGTTGTTTAATGCCAATTTGGGCTTGCCAAATATATATTAATGAGTGCCAAAATATATATTTATGTGAACATTTTTTTTTTAATAATTTATTATTATTATTACTACAATATTTATGACTTGAGCGCCATCTGTCCNGCATAATTTGGCGGCCCCCGGCAAACTTCTTACGGACCCCCAGGGGGCCGCGGCCCCCCTGTTAAGAAACACTGCTATAGACCAGTGTTCCGCAATAAATAAAAAACTAAATACGAAAACTTTATCTTTCGTATTTCACTTTTCGATACGATATTCGGTTATACATAAATTTTTTTTTATTATATTCTGAAGGAAATATTGCATAATTTGGCGGCCCCCGGCAAACTTCTTACGGACCCACAGGGGGCCGCGGCCCCCCTGTTAAGAAACACTGCTATAGACCAGTGTTCCGCAAGCTTTTTCTATTCGTAGCACACCCATGACTCGACATGTCTCAACACGGCACACCAAAATGTCATTCCCATCAAAAGCGTATGATATGATACTATTAATAGAATTACGTAATGTCACTACTCTATTATTATTATTATTTTATTATTATTATTGTATAATCCCCGATGGCCGTCGATTGTAATCTTTCGACATTCGTTCGCTTCGAGTCGTAGTTGCGTTGTTCACGTTCCTGGCGATTGTTGTTGAATTTTTTTGTTTGCCCCATCCTCCTCCTTCCCTATTGAATTTTAATGGTAAAGATGCATCTTGAGACGAATAACCACATAATCAAAACGGCTCGATAATTGGTTACAGATTTAAAAAAATAAATAAAAAAAATTACAACCAACCGGTGCATAAGTATGCGATTAAGTTGGTAACAAAGAACGTCTTCAAAAAAAAAAAAAAAAAACATACTGGCATACACAAATATGCATTTAATGCTCTGGAACTTCACCGATGAATGTAAGATATTCCACAAATTTTTCTTTGTAATCATTTCAGAATGTGTAGAATTAGAATAGAAAGTGTAATCGTCAATTTATGAAATATCCAGTAGTGGTAATGAAGATGTGTCTTTTTTCATTAGTGTTTGTTGTATGTAAAAGTGGGCACAAAGTGTCACATTACCAGCATACTTGTCTTTCCACTCCTAGAGTGATGCGTAATTGTATGTAAATTGTTTTGGATGTCGACTTCATATATCTTGCTATAAACTAAAAGGAAAAAAAAATACAAAAAAAAAAAAACATTGTTGGGATATTCAGACTGTTAAACGTAACAGTTGAATTTTATTATGAAAGGAAAATTAAAAAAAAAAAACAACAACACGTGTTACTTAATAGATAATTCAGGAAGTTTCCGTATTTTTTGCTTCAGGAAAAAAAAATTTTGCAAACGTATGTCCGGTACCAACGAATCTCCGTTTTTTCCTTTTTGGATATCAGATTCCATTATTGCTTGTGTGGTTCGTAATTTTTGAATTATTATAAGACGTTTCGATTTATTTTTCCAATTGTTTAAGTTTATACCACACAACCAAATGCAGCAAAAGAGTACAAATTCATACAGCCAGTGTATTTTCATATTGTTATCGATCAGTTTGAACTCCTGATATGCAGTTGTATTCTTCCATCATATAGTTGTAACATTCATAATGTAGAACAGAAATAAAGTGGTATCATCATTATAATATGTGTCTCGTATGTTTATTTAATCTTCTACACTAGAAATTCCATCGGGTGCCAATACAATAAACATGTGTTTCGTGTGTTTTCTGGTTTTTTTTTTTAATACAGCAAAGTGACATGCAGGTGATGTATAAAGAGAAATGATCTCTTCTGCCGAGGGCCTCACTTTCTATGGGTTATTATTTAGGTGTTGGAAAACGTAAAAAAACACCCGGAAAACTACACGTGACGAGGTGCTAACCCATGATCAAGTAGTGTTTAGTGGTTTTATCCACTTGACTCGTGTGTTAAATTGTTTTTTACTCTGAATGCTGAGGGTTTTCAAATCTACCATAGGTTTGACCAGGCCATAATGGGAAAGCTGGGTAGTGTGGGATGAGACCCAACATATCCAAGATATACCACTCCAAAATATTTGTGGGATTCACCTGGATTTGATCTTGGGTCCTCCAAAGTGGTAAGCTGGTGCCTTAACCGCTCGGCCATCTGGCCTACTCCAAATATTAAACTGAATTTAGAGTTATCACAATATGCCATCATCGTGGACAAGATTTTTGACTAAATAATTCCTGTGGTGAGATGATCGAGAGGTTAGTATCATCCTACCATTATGGGGGACCCGAGATCAAATCAAGGTAGTTGAAAAACTTCAGAAACTTTTCAAGGATGGTTTTACCAGATATGTCATGCCCTCACCACCACCACCACCACCACTGTGAGCTTTTGGATGAAATATTGCGAGTAAGGACCCACGACTGCTGAACACTGGCTGGGTTTGGTAGTTGTTCGTGTTTCACCAACAAGCTGGTTACATGGAGTATTGTGGGTCTTTACATAAATAGGGAACAATTTCCCATAGTAATTTCTTCTAGGAGACATCTCCCCTTGGCTGATTGCCCATGTGTTACGTTGCCTCATTCCATCAATCTACAATGAGTATGATTCAGAAAGGCCTTTTTTGTAGTGCCTACAAGAAGGAGAATCAAAATTGGAAGAAAAGTATTAAATAACTAAGACTGAATTCTATTGTACATTTTAATAAATAATCAGTTTGGACGATTAATGAATGAAACCATCGAGTTCTATGGGAACAGCACAATGGACGCGTTGGCTGGTAGACACTTTAATGTAATTGGAAAATTTCGATGCATTTAAAAGAAATAATTTGAATCGTAAAGAAAATAGAATTGCAGGATCTTCTGTTTTGCATATTTGGCAGGATTTTTGTTACTAATCCCACTTTGTATTGGTAAGACTTGAGTTCCTTGTAAGCAAGCAAACCAATAGCATACTTTGTTTCATATGAAACAAATTATGCTATTGGTTGTCACTTAGAAGCATAGATGGCTTCTCGCTACACAAGATTTTATAGGAAGGTAATGAACTTGTGTCAATGCCGAGACAAAACAGAGCTATATTAGCTACGTCACGAAAGATTTTGTCTGACATTTTTCCAGTTCATCGCCAAGTATGGGCTTGCGAAGTAGACATAGAACGACATATCTTTTACGTCTACATGTGCGGTGGTGTCGAGTTTTCTGTGTAATAATAATAATATGATGCCATCAGAAATTTTAATCAAAGAAATTAGAAAATGTCCACATTTATGGAAAAGAATTGCGGAATTAAAACACCAAGGACAATACTTGCATCCCACCCTCCGTAGCATAGCACTTTCCTTGGCTTCGGCATAAATGCCCCTTGTTTTCATTGGGAGAATGATGCAAGCGTAATGTATCAAGTAGTCTCTTTGGCCATCTTAAATTCTTAAAACATAAACTACTCACCTTGCCTTATTTGTGATAATTAGAATTTTCGTCAATAGAAGGCGTCATTTAACTGAAATGGGGTCGACATGTTGAATCTTGAATGTGTGCTATTCTGCAGCCAAACAACGTAGAAAAAAATTTGTAAATCTTCAGTACTTTCAGAATAAAAAGGGTGCATATATATATTATATTGTTACATCCATTAGTGTTAATTCTGAGGTTATTTGTCTTCACTTAATTAATAGATTAGACATGTAAGATGCCATTTACTTCAGATTCGAAATGAGTAATAACCAGCACATTCTTTACTTTCTGAACATCTAGGTTGGACTTTAGACTGGGCAGTGTCCATAAAACAGAGAAAAATTACTTCTTGCACAGTATTTTGGACCGAAATTGATATGTAGGCCATTCTTGGCTCATTTAAGCCGTTTTGCAGATGTTGCATCTCAAAGTTGCCCTTACAAAGCTCCATAGACGGTGGCGCCTTGAACTCAAAAAGCGGTTAGCACCCTGCCATTTTAAGACTACATCCCTAGTAATAATTATATACGATCGACCTATATTGCCAAAGTTAGAAAATGTGCAGCCTTCGTATACAGCCTTAATCTTTATTAACTTAATCTGTTTGTTAACCCTGGCCTGATGGCCGAGGGGTTAACAAATATCCTCCATAAAGAATCAGCGTCTGAATAAATTTGTCATTATAGTGAATTTTTTTAAAGAGAGATGAGTTTTATGTACTGGCAATTTTCGTGCACATGAACAGCAACAAATGTGATTCAATCGTGCTAAGTGGAAAGCCAGCATAAAGGTTCCTTTAAACCAGGGGTCGCCAAACTTTTTTAACTGTCGATCCCCAACCACTTTCCAAAGCCTCACATTGACACCCATCGTAAAGTTTTATTACAAGTGTATGTGTATGAGCAAAAAAAAAAAAATGGTTGTGACCCCTTAGCCGCATCGACCCCCCCCAATGGTCGATATCGACCCCTGCTTTAAACTGTTAGGACCTCCTCTTGCGACATATGTAGCAATATGGTTGTGTATATAGAGGCACGTAAGCTACATTGTGGCCACTGCTCTAGATCACTTGAACTTGTAGATTGCCGAAGCTGGCATATCTTCTACTTCCACAAATTTAATCCATGGACGACAAATGTGAAGACTGGGTAGGCCAAGGACACGGTCTGCTGGAAAAACCTAGCCGTGCGTGACCGAGCATTATTCTACTAGAGAATGGCTGCAGTCCTGCTGGGTAAGACAATACACAGAAGGTGCAAGGATTCCCCAAACTTATCATTGTTTGTCAATGTCTCTTGCAGCACTACTAGGGGTGACCAACTGTCGTACAAAATGGCTCCCAGACTAGCACGTCGGCAGTGGATGCAGTGTTCACCAAAGTGCACGCTAGCAGTTTTCCTCATACTGACATCATGGTTGTCAGACAGACAATAACTGAACAAAACTGGGATTGTCACTAAAGATGATGTACTGCCAGTCCGTAGCAGTCGGTTGCTTCTGTTACAGTCGTGGACCAGTGTAAGCAATGACAATAATGTTTAATTGCAAATGACAAGATGTGCAGCAATTTCTGTAAATGCAAATTTGCCTCTGTTAGCCACTTGCCAATGGTACAGTACAGTAAGACACAGATGGAAGCCTCACTAAAATACTGTGTCTCCTGAGCCATTGCAGCTATTTGTGCTTGTCTTTACAATCAGACAATTCTCTTTTTGTGGTTTGCCAGGTGTCCAGAGCTTGCCCACCAAATATGTGACCTTGTGTATCCACTCCCAAGCAGGGCAGGCACTTCAGCAACCCACTTGATGACAGCCATCCTACTTCCTCAGTCCAATGATATGGCTGCCTTCAAAGTCAGTCAGGCATAATGTCATACAGGCACGCCCAATGCTTGAAAACCTCCAAAAAACAGGTAAATTGAGACTGAACTTTTTTATAGGCTACCGAGATAGTGAATCCAAGGCATTCTAGCATACAATTGGTCTACACTAAACATTTACACACATATCAATGACAGCATACAGATGTCAAATGGCTTTGAATTTTGTAATAATCTGGATAACTTTTTTTTGTTAATGATTATTACATAACAATTGGCTTTAATCCTTCCATTTCTTACATAAGTTTAATAACCAGAAGTTGAAACACTTAAGCAAATGACATTAGCCAATTTTTCTAGTATGAAGTTTCAAAATATGTCTGCAAGAAATTGGAAAATTTTTTGCTGACATATTTTCAGACAAAAACTGTACAATTGTTCTTTAATGCAAATGAAAAAGTTGTGTAGGAGACGCACTGGCTAAACATACACACACTGTATATATAAAAAACAGTATGCTGTGTATTACAATTAATGAAATTCAATTGATGAGACTACAATCTACTGGCATCTTGTCATAGGTCATACAAATATTTGGTCACACTTCTACCATACAGTCAAATTGTATGATAAAAATTGGGAGGTGTGTCATCTGCTTGAGAGTCTGACAAAATGCCCCGATAGCTCTCACAGGACAGCTATTGATATTTAATTTATTTACATACAAGTTCATGTAAATAAGTTTTCTAGTTGAATGTTTAAAATACACTAACTAAAAGAACTTTGCTTTGATGTCACGTACGATGATAAAGTAGAAGAAAGTATAGTTTCATCGTAAAAATATTTATTATCAACCAAATTATAACAAAGTAAACAGAAATTTTAGAAAAACACCAAACAAGAAGTTATTGTCACAACAATAATTATAACTAATCTAATAGAAATCACACCAAGAGAGAGAGAAAGAGAGAAAATTGCAAAACGAAATCAAAACGACCACAATTTGTAAAGTTTTTTACACCAGATATTGTTTATTTGAAGTAAATACAATATTTAATGTGATTTCGTACATGAATAACTATTCGGCGTGCTTACGACATTTAAGCATAAACATAATAAAAAGCTAGATTGGGTAAGATAAAAAAATGCACGTGGCTTACGAGTGTCGAGAAAGTTATACATCGCTACCGTATATGATGATGACATCCGCATGGAAAAATAACGACAATTTGAAAAATGAAAGCCAAAATATACCGACCGAGTTCGAAAGCTAAGTAGAATGGTGGTAAGAAAATTAGAAAATTTTGCAAGAAATTTATGTACACTCGTCATCGTAAACGATTTATGTCGTCTAATTCGATTACTCGGTATGAGAGACCAAATCGGAACCGGAATTTAAAACGATATCCAAACTTTAAATTACGGAGTTAGAGTGGCGTCTACGGCACCGACCTCTCAAGACTGCAACGTGCCATTTGGTCGCTCAACCGAAATGATATGTACCGTCGCTCCCTACGCTATTTGTCGGCGACCTCCTCCATTTTCTGTCTCAGCTGTCTCTCGAACACTTTCTTGGCATCGCAGAATCCCTGACGCGTCTTCCCGTAAGAATTTGGTCCTGCGGAAGTTGGCGTGTCTCTGAAAAAGGAAAGAGTAATTGCATACGTAAATCACGAGTGTATTTACTCATATTTAAATGATTTAGCAAATTCTAACTCACAATGCCACAAAATTCATTGGTTACATTACTGAACTTTAATATTAGAAACAGTTTTAGTTTTGTTCTTCCCATATTTTTTATCATGGCAAAAGGCAACTTGTAAATCTTTCAAAAATACTTCCACGTGCAATGGTACAATTTCTTCATCCAGAGTTTAAAAAAAATCAATATTTACTACAATCTAGGAAATATTTTTCATTACAATGGAATTACAAACCCCATAATATGCTGTAAACGTTGTGTTCACTTCTGTTGATACTGGGGATACTTTCAATTCTTTCATGATTATCAGTATGATTTGTTTTATTATTTAGCAAATGGCTATCTCTACAGCTAAACAATGGTGTAAAAAAGGAACACCGATACATGGAGGTAGAATGCCCTGCCATAGTAAAGCAATATAATCGGCACTTGGGAGACATTAAATCATGCAAATGAATGATCTGGTACCACTGCTCTGCTGCAAGAACAAGAAAGTGGGTTGTATGTGACCTACATTACATTGTTGAAATGGCTCACTCCAGGAATGGGCACATGTACCAAGCTTGATATGCCAATGACTTTTTTCTGGCATGCAATCCAGAGCTCACACTAAGAAAGTAAAAGTAAATATCCAACAACTTTTTATATTTTGTTTCATGTTTTATAAAAAGTTTATTGGGTGTCTAAAAGTATATATATATGTAATTTTGATTATTTGTAAAGATTCTTTCAATACTCAAAAGACGACAAATAATAATATACTCCCAAAAATTTTGCATCACAGATTTGGCAACTTCGGCATACACATTTAAAAGTGTTTCCTGCCCCTGGCTTGCCCAAATCTGTGGTAGAAAAACGTCATGAACATTTGTTAGAGGTTTAATATTCAAACAATTCTTGCACAAGTTCTATTTACACCTTACCGAGCATCTAATCTACAGAAATAATTGTATGGATAGAAGAGAGAGACTTCTCATAAGGCAATCATCAGTACACAACAAGCTGCAGAAGGTTGTTTGTGGTCTTGACTTCTAAATGCATAAATAATGACTAAGTGTCATTTTTGTCAACACCAAAAAATGCTGGCCAATGTCGCTTTCCAGAGTGCAAACGAGCATATAGGATTAAGCAAGACTGTGCGACGGCAAGAAATCATTTTTTCAAATTTTATAAGATAAAATAATTGCACTGTTGTATGAAAATAAAACTATCAAACAAAAACTTTCAATTTATAGTATTTTTATCACATTTCCCTGTTCATGGATGTCCATATTTGGATTGTGGATCCACATATAAACATATAAACACTGCAAAGCATAGCATTAGTGGGATTAAAAAGCATTAACCAGAGACCCTAAATGATCCATGACAAACAAAAAGTAAAGTGCATGCAGAAAATTGCACCGGTACTAAAAAGATTATTTTATTTTTTTTACTATTCAATGATTGATAGCTAAATTACTTTTTTATGATGGAAATATATGACTGTCATTCATTTATCAACATCTACTTGCAATTCAAAATAACTCTCTTTCTCTTAAAGTTTATTTTTATATTACTGTTAAAATGAAGTATAACAATTAATATAATAGAAACAAAGTATATCAATATTGACATAAATTTCATAAACTGTTTTATAAGTGAAAATCCAAAATAAACTACATAACTGACAGTTTTTACCATTTAATACATTGCAAGGTGCAATGTAATGTATCACTATAAAAAGTGCATGCAACATTATATTACAGTGATACTTAGTACTTCAAATGTTCAAGAGATCATATTTAATTAAGAGAAATTCAACCCAGAGTTCAAACTATGCTTCTACACTTGAACTAATAAAAACACCTAAACACCAAAAAACCAGCAAATGATGTATATATATTTAAACAAAACAGATGTTTTCTACTGTTTTAAATAGTCATCTTCAGGTTTCTGCAAACCTGAAGATGACCTACTCCCTATTAACCATGAAACTGAAGAAGTGTGTGAAGTAACTAAGCCTAAGAGGAAGGTTGTAGTATCGATAACTGAGGTGAAAAAGGAACTTATCACAAAGCATGGAAGCAGTACATGTTTGGTGAATCTGGCAGCCATGTTTAAGATGCCAAAGTCAATGAAGTGCACAATTCTTAAGAATAAGGAAGCAATAAAAGCAGCAAATGTCACTAAAGTTTGACAATGTCGACCTCCGGGTGATTGCATGTTGCTGAGATTGAAAAATCCTCGTATAGATAAACGAGAAGCATTTGACTAGTGATATCATCTCTGAGAAAGCCATGCAAGTGACTTTAAGAAATGGGACATCATCATTCCTCAACTACAGTACAATAAATACAATTTTCATATTATTATACAGTATTTATGTATTTTATTTATTGTTTTCGTGTTTTAAGTTATTATTTAAGGCATTTATTATTAACTGTGTATATCTTAAATTATGTATATTTGCTATTTAAGTTTATCAAAATGGGTTTATCAAACTTAGGGTCTTGTAATTGATTAATTCACTTTCCATTATTTCTAATGGAGAAAATTGATTCAGATTTTGAACATTTTGGAGTTAGAATGGTCCCTGAAATGAAATGAATTCGAAATACAAGGCACCAGTGTATTTTATGGAGAAATATCAGTGTGTCGTTTGATTCAAAAGCTTTAATTGCAATTCTTTTAAATATAATCACCAAAAAAGCGATTCAAATAATTACAAGAACATGGAAAATAAACATGTAATTTTCTTATAAATCTTGCACAAGTTAGATATGTAAAACTTTTACCTTCCTATGTTCCTCATTCTCATTTTTGCTTCTGGAGGCATTTCTTCCTCTTCCTGAAAAATAATAATTTTTAATACAACAAAATATGTAGATTATTTTATAGTAGTTTAGGTTTTATAAAATAACAAAAGTTATATTTAATATGGGAGAGTCAAAATGACCTATCCTTCTAGACATAAAGAATTTTCTGTCTTCCTACTATTAAAACATCTTAAAAAATTACCAATCAAATAATTAAACAAAATCTATTATTGAGCTACATTTTAACTAATTAAATGTACAAATGCTACTTAATTTAGGCTAAAAATACACAATTAAGTTGCTGTCTTGTGCTAAATTTAATAATTAGGAACAAATAAATGTAGAACAATCCAAAAGCAGAGAATCCGGACCTAAAAGAAATTAAAGGTAAGATGGTGTAAGCAATATTGATAATTCTGCAGCATTTAAATTTTAGAGATACAAAGATGGACAAACTCTTGAAAATATAATGAGAATATATTACTACGTATAATAGATTTCAATTAAATATCACAGATCTTGCAGTCTCCTATCATCCTTCATAATTCCATAATAAATTGTATCGAGATCATCATCGTCACACCTTTCAGATTTGAATTCTTCAACTATCAGTGTGTTCCACACAGTGGTGTAGCGTAGTGGGGACAGCAAAATTTCACAATAAATAATAATAATATCTTGTAAAAATTTGAACCATTTCATTTCACATTTTTGTCGCCCCTACGATTCGGACCAATTGAAATGATCACGGAATTTTTCATTACTTATTCAGTGACGAAACTGAATTTTAGTCTTTTAAATTGAGATACCTAAATAAGGGGGCGTGAAATTTTCCTCCATCCCAGGAGGCTGAAACCCACACTACGCCACTGGTTCCACAGACACTTTACAGCAGAGTATTTCATACTGTTCTTCTGCACTGACAGTACATTTCTCACTAATTCTGTTTGTGTCACGTAGAACCTCTGACAAAACAGTGAAACATGATTTTCCAACATTTAGTTGCATTTTAATAATTTCTGCATTTAAGCTATTCAGAGATTCCATGCATTTGTACTTGACAGGCTCCTTATCAATCACTTTCTAAGAAATTGTTGTCACTTTTGGCATGTATCAATGATTTCTTAGAAATAGTACAAATTCCATAACAGTGACAGCACGTTCTAATCTGCTACTTTAAAACCAGCTTTCACAGCACCACAGATTACATGTAAGTCACATCTCCCCAACCTGACAAATGATTTTCCAACATTTTGCATTACCAAACGATCTGGTTTCTTCAGAAAACTTATATTTACATTTAATCCATCCATAAAGATGTGAAGAATTTTTTCTAGATTAAGACGAATGTCCAAGAGACCGCTGAGAAATGCAGACAGAAAAAGATCAATCTCCTATACTGTGATCCAGAAAGACATTTAATATCTGATCATTCACTGTTGTCTCAGTACTTTATCACAAAATCCATTTGTTCTTTGAGCAACTTTGTTTAGCAACTCATCGAAGGAAATTCCAATAATATTGCAACTTATAACAGAATCAACCAGCATTTCTCTGAAATAGCAGGATAGGTTATAATTTATTATGCAAGAAGCTTTGCCTGAATTCAATTGAAATTGTGTAGCTGTAACACTGACAGTGAACATTTTTTTTTGAAAAACACGAATTAAGCTGTAACTTTTTTTTTCTTCACAACTGCCAATACTCAAGTTATCTTTGCCTTTGTCATGTTACCTTGTATCGAGAAAGGTGTTGGCGTGCCAATAGGGAACATTGATTTGGCGATAGACCGTTCAGTTGCGGAAGATAAGTAAGACCAGTAATGAAGATGCTTCACACATTTCGTTGCCACCAGAAGAGTTTGAATTTATTTTTGGAGTTAAAATCCCTATAAGAACTTCTCATGTGCAACACATATTATGCCTAATTTTGAATTATTTTAAAATACAATCTTACAATGCAATAGAATAAGTAAGTAAGTCTCATTATATACGTAAAAATTAAACAACCCATTAGATACGATTGCGCAAGTTTTAAAAAACTGCCTTAAGAACTTGGTCTCTAGCTATAAAAAAATAATAATAATAAAGTCAGTGAAAAGCGGGAAGCAGATATTAATTACCGAGTCTAGACCTAGCTTGGGTCACTTTAAAATTCTAAGTAATTCCAAAAATAAAAATGTATTATTGAAATCGTTTAAAGTGAACATTTATGTAACTTTTCTGAACTTTTTAAAATAATTTAACCTTAAAATAACACAAAAAGTTGCTTTAGAAGCTAGAGAAAATGGCCATGATGGGAAAACAACTTTAATAGTACAGGACTTTATTGATAAATCTGAAATTTTTCATTTTTGAAGTATTTTTTGGTGTTCATTACTTAAGTTTTTCCCTAACTGAAATTTTTAAGCCTTACAAAGATTTGTTAAATCAAGAGTTGATGCCCGAGCAAAGTTTTCCCTCATTATATGTATATTATAATAAAGTTTTGTAAAAGAGAGATTTGTATGTCTAGTGGTATCCCTCAATAATAAAAATGTTTCAATAAGAAAACAAAGTTTGGTATGTATGTTGACTTGTATCGCATCACTTCTTGCCGCCTTTAGATGGATGTACTTGGCCAGCCACATAGTCGACAAATAAAATCAATGTTTTTGTTAACCTTTTATATGTAATTATTTGAATATAAATAAAATTAAACAAACATTCTTCTCTAGTTCTGTTGTGTCTAGAAAAAACTTAGTTCCTTCTATATTTTTTAAATTGTGTTAAAATACCATCTGCCATCTTCACTGTAATTGAAATTATCTATTTCTTAATTATTGGCCTATCATCAGCAAACGCTTTAAATATTTTACATAATATTGCAAAGGCGTGGCCTCTATTAAAAGGTCGTCTCTGCGAAGGAAAAACTGTTTTGTTCCTGGTAATTGGACACGACATACTTTCTTCTATATTTTTATACAATATACTAATACTAATAAAATATTTTGAATTATATACTGACGTTACAGGAAAATCCCTATCTTTATCCTCCAACAAAAAATAATTAATTACACAAAATAAAGCTCAAAGATAATTTTTTTTATGTTGAATAAAAACACAGTTTATAGTTTCGAAACCATTTATATTATATAATTACGTTACTAATTAAGACAATAGAAAGAATTAAAAATTAGATAAACAAAAATACTAAATTCCAGCAATAAAACATTTTATGACTAGCATTTTGACCATAGTGTAATGATACTTTTCTTAATGGCTTTAATTTTTGAATTTTATATACTACATTCCTGACATGTTAACGTTTAATCAGTTTATAATGAAAACGGAGATGTAAAATTAGTGAAACAGGAATCAAATTTTATTTACAACCGTTTCTAATTAATAAAATTTTAATTTTAAAAAAAAATTACATACGTCACTGTCTTGTCTGAAAGCTTCAGCAACTGAGGCACTTGTTTCTTTTAGTGCTGGTGTCGAGTCCTTCGATTTCTGCAATAATTAAAAAGTCAAATTAGAATGACATTTCGCTTAAGTAAAGAAAGAAATCAGAATTTAATAAAAACAATTTTATTATTAAATCATCTTATTTAATTTATCTGTCAATTAACTCCTACAGGAAATGCATTGTAACGTATATAAACAGACAAAAAAGTTGTGCAAAATTGCCATTTTGTTCAATTTTATGGTCATCTATTTCTGTAAATTAATATTTTTTTAATAAGATAAAATCACTTCATTATATAAATTAAAAAAAAAAAAAAAAAGCATCTATTATTCTAAAAATCTAATTACAATTGACTATTAGAAGCAATCAATTGTGAAATGCTATGAAAGAAAGTAAATATTGACAATAGAGAAAAATGAAAGGACTCTCGAAGAATAGAAGAATTAATAACGGTAAATAATGTTAATTGGAAAATAATTAGAAAGCAGAAAGACATTTGGACATCAGATATTTTAATCAAATATTATGAATAGAGGTAAAAGGACGAAAACAAAAAACATTCCGAGCGTTCATCGCAAGTTTAATTCGATTAAAAATAACAAAAAAGTCTGACGTTACATTAAAAAAAAAAATAGAATTAAAAGTTCTGTTTGCTCTTCAAAGATTTTTATTAAACTATTTTTTTACATTTTATGCTTTTTTTAAAGATGTTTACTGAGATAAGCTATTAAATTGAAATATTTTTCAATTACGTACCTCGAAGCCTGTTACTGGCGTGCAATTAACCTCAAAAAATGAAAAATTAAAATTTCATAAACGTTTTCAAACCTTCAATGGTTCTTCTTCAGGCAGCGATAAATTTCCATTAGAATGCCATTAAATACGAATATTATTCGAATACGTGTTAGCCGATGAATTTTTACCAGGCATGCGCACTACATAGGTAGCAAATGACAAGAATTTATAGCACTTTGTTCACTAGTTAATTGCACACCTGTAACAGGCTTCGAGGTATGTAATTGATTATATTCCGGTGTTGGCTAAGGTGAAGTTATGAAATATTTTTCGAAACTGCACATGTTATTTGTGAAAATGATTATTCAGATATATTGGAAGTATATTATAACAAGATATTTTGATGTGGAGTTAATTGTGTTCCTCTAATCTTCTTTTAAACATAGTATAAATTAAGAAGGCAATTATTATTCTATTAAAAACTTTCTTAACAAATCACTCATACTTTCCGAATTTTTAAATTAAGAGATTTCGCCTTATCTGAATTAAAATCATTCAAAGATTACTTTTAAACATTAAAATTTAACTATGAGAACAGTAAATACTATAACATTATTATCAAAAATTACATACTGGTAACAAAATCACTTAACATATGAATGTGCTCCAGAAGAGTCTTAAGCTTAAATTCTGCTTATGGCGGATGTCATTTTATATCTTTCGATCCAGATTAAGGAAAATTTTTGTCAATTTAAAGCTTCTGAAGATGAAGAATTCAAATAATTAGCCAAAAGCTTCATTGGTGCCATGGAAGACGGTCAGATTTATACTTAGAAGTCATTATTCATTCACTCTTCAGATAAAATTTAGTTTATTTTTTCAATGTGATGAGAAAATCTCAAATATTAATCTCTCTCTATAGAATAAATTCTGGTCAAATTGTGGTTTTAATGTATTATAATGAATCAAGACACATTCTTATTCTAAAACCGCACGTGAAAGGTCTCCACTTGAATGATATAAATCATATGAATGTATAATAAACAGTTTATTTATACAGGGTCACCCCTTTCATTCTAAAAGTACTGAAAAAATATATTAATTTGGTTAACATAGTCACTTAGTAAGTCAAGTATAGAGAATTGGATGGAATTTTTGACATTTTCAAGGTCACTTAAAATAAAATCACTTTTACTCCTTGTCAATTTAAAGTCCATTTTTAAAAGGAACATCTGTTTTCTAAATTATTAATCAGCATTGTGTAAACAGTTTAAAATAATTAAATGGTATTGTATAACTTTATCATCAGAACTTCTACATTACTTCTGTTTGTTAAAGTTACTACACAAATGACCTCGAAAATGATTTTCAAGGTCAACAAAAAGGTTCCATACAATTCTCCGTACATGTATGATTTCCCACATAAACGTTAAAATTTATATATATTCAGTAATTTTTAAATGAAAATGGAGTAAGGACTTTTGACTCCTGTATGTAACTATTGTAAAATTTATATCAGTCTAGTTCAATCCATGTATAACTTGATAAGTAACATCTAATTTTAAAGGTAATCTGTGCCCAAAATATTTTCCACAAACATACTACAGGCGAAATAACCTTATACTTCTCAAGAATTATTTTGTATTCTACATTTTTCTCTTCACTCATTTTCATGTAACAAACTAAGCTATCCTCAAATATCCTGCCGACCAACTAAAACGAGATGATCGCCAATCCAGTTTTGTGATTAATCAGTAACATCTTATCCTGATTGATTCCTGTTACGTTTGCTGATATTGATGTCTTGCACAAATGGCAAAACTCCATCAATCCTGTCTTTAAATAATTAAATCAAATTCTTTCTTTAATAATTATGAGAAATAAAATAGATTTTATTATTTTTTCGTTGTTAGAATATGTTATCATCATCAAACAACAATCGGCTGGATTATCTACTGGGATATATTATGGGTAAAATAGCCTGATATATAGCTCAATAAATAATCCAGAAGATCATTTGGTAATAATAGTGCATTGGGTTGGCAAATATGTTAGAATACGGTTTCCAAATATTTATTTTTAATTCACACTTCAAATTTAAATTGTAATTTAGTAAAACTTTCAAAGTGTAAATACTGTTCATAAAAATAAATTTTTAAACTACTTTTATAGAATTGCTTGATAAAGATTGCTCTCCTACTTCAATATCCTATGAAGTATACATCTAGAAACATGTGGCCATCACTATTCAGTAGTTACGAGTCAAGACTGTATGCAAAACATTTCAGTTCACTGCACCTCAGTGCACTTTTTCCTCACCAAAGCATGTTCTGGAGAACGCCCTGAATTCACCAACTATCGTAAGTGATCTCTTGCCATATAGGGATTTTCAATTCTTCCAATGTTTGAGAATAGACTTTCTCATTTATCAAGTCTCAGAGGAAAAAAAGTTACACAGTGATAAGTTGAGAATATAGGCAGCCATTTTTCCTTATTGTTCCTTCCAGAATAAAATCACTGTGGAGTTGAGCAAGTGAAAAAATAAGTTTAGCAAGTCATTCCGTCTTAGTAGATCACAGTGTCTAGTGCAGAAATACAAAATATAACTTTAAAACTGTATTTTGTATGCAGATGGTTTTGTGTGAGCCAACCTGTATATATAACAGATATCACTTTTACACAATCAAAATACCAAAACATCCAGCGACATTTATTGAAGAAAACTAACGTTTTCAACTACTTTTAGTAGTCATCATCAGATTAGAATAAAAGAACAGGAATTTGAGCATAAATTTCAAATGTATTGAACATGCATTTAGTTGAATGAAGTAATTTTCATTAATGCTGTTTACAAATGAAATTCTTGTATTAATTGACATTAAAAAAAATGACCTCCATGCTTGTAATAAGACATCATAATCTTTATAGTTTATGGCCAGGTTCCATCTGTTGGCTCTATATATCCCAAGTTTCTCTAATCCCCTAAGATGAGCCTTGTCACTAGTGTGATGTATCAGATGTGCTTCATTGAAAGAAACTTGGACTTTAGTTATCAGTTGCAAAGGCTGCTAGAGCCACGGAGACGAGACCCTTTTTGATTAAACTCTTGTGCTCTTTTAGTTGAAGATACAGTGAATGAGAGGTAGGCCCTATGTATTGAAGTTTGTAACAAATTATTTTGTTTAATCATCAACTAGCTGTATCATAGCCTGAATATGGTCTGGCAATGGTTATTTGTTTAATTGTAATTTGATTAGTCACAATTTAAAATGCAAGTTTCTCTTTGAATCTTTTACCATGTAGAATACAAACGAATCCAAACAGATATAAAATAAATTCAAGAATACTCACTCTTCTTAACAAGATTTCATATAGACTAGTGGCTAGATTGCATCACCAGAAAAGAAAGGAAAACCAGAAAGGACGAACAAAGAAGAAAGTTGGTGTGGCCTAACCCAACCTCTAGACTTCTCCAAAAGGATAAGAGAATTCCTATCATTAAATAGAATTCTGTGGAGTGGATGGTAAGTGTTCATTTAAATGGTTTAATAACTTTCTAGTTGTGACAGAAGTTACTAGAAAGTTATTAAACCGTTTAAATGAACACTTACCATCCACTTCACAGAATTCTATTTAATGATAGGGATTCTCTTACCCATTTAGAGAAGTCTTGAGTTTATAACCCAACCTCTCTGAAACCACATGAACTGACGATGGATAAGGAATCAACGAAAATGAAACCATCAATGGAGAAAGCTACAGTCAAAAACTTAATTTAATTTGCATCAATATATCCTCGTACGCTAATTTAATAATCATTGGTTACACTTTTTTAACTGCTTAATTCCACTTCCAACTTTTAATACATTTATTTCATTCTTTTTTTTTTTTTTAAAACTACCATTTTAAAATTCTTTGATAAGATTCTAATACTTGCAACTGAACAATAATACAAATTTTAAAATTTAAATTAATTGCTAGATGATTATTTTTTTATTTAATTTCATTAATGTGGCAACATTAATTGATGTTTATTTAAATTATTTAATTCAAACAAGTTCTACAGATTCCATATTCTCAAACCGTTTGATTTCATTATAATGCCAATTATAAATTTTATAAGCTAAAAATGAACAAAATGAGATCAAAAATGCTATTTTAAAATAATAATAATCTCCTGGCTACTTAAATTGAGTTGTGTATTCATTGAAATGACGATTAAAAACACAAGCAATATCACTGAATTTTGACCAGGCTCTCGGAATTAAAACCCAGTTTGCTTATCAACATATCAGGCTTGACTTACATG